ATAAAAAAAACAAATGTGTTTTTTAATTTTTTGTATGTGTACGAATTATCAATAATTACTATGTACATATATGTTTAAATAGAATATAAAATAATATTGGGTCAAAATTCTAAAAATTACTAAATCTATAGGTGGTAAAGTTGATTTGAAGGAAAATATGCTTGTTGTTAATGCGTATCGTTATAGAATCTAGTGGCTAATGGTACCTACCAGTATCCAACTTCTTATTATATTGAAAGAACATAATGATACCGGGGGCACTGTAGCCGCTCCCTGTAAACACAGTTGAAACAAATTGCAGTATCATATTTTTCCCAACTCTTAAAATATTTTCCAATTGAACCAATCACCACTAGGGCTGAGTATAGGATTCGAAAAATTGCGAACCGTACCGAAAACCGAATCGAAATCACTCCGAACCGAAAAATAACCGTTGACAGTTTGACTTTCTCCGAACCGAACCGAACCGAAAAAACAATTGGTACGGTTCTGGAGATTTCACAAATATCCAAACCGAGAATCGAACCGAACCATCCCGTACTGTACCGAATTGAAGAACCGAAATTAAGAACCGAATTATAAAAATAGATGTATGATATTAATATATTTTATGTCAACTTTGATCATATATAATTTGGAAAACATTAAAAGAAAAATAAAATATATAACAATTAAGCTTCACTTAATGTCATGCTTAGTAATACTTGAGATCTACAATTGAATTTTCTTGGTTTAAGAAAAATATATTTTTAATGGTATGAAAGGTTAAAAAAATATTTTTGTAAAAAAATATTTAAACATTACTTAAATTTGTTGATACTAGTCTTATTCAATCTTATACCTAATATAGTATGGAAGATTAAAGAAATATTACTTTAATAAAAAACTATATTATATTTTATTTAAATTTTGAATTTTTTAATGTAAGTTGCACAAATTTAGTCTTAACTGAAATTTTTAGAGTTATTTCTCCAGTTGATTTAAAAATAAAATCTTTAGTATGATAAAGTATTAATGAATGTTGGATTTAAAAAAAAAATATAAAAATTGAAATACAACTAGGTGGCCATTAAAAAAAAAAATAATTAGAAAACTCCAAATATTCGAACCGAGCCGATCCGATCCGAACCGTTCCGATAGTCCCGAGAACCGAACCGAACCGAACCGATTTTTTGGTACGGTTCCAGAGATTAAGTTTTAGTAATCTTCGAACTTCGGTACGGTTCTGGAGATTTGTCAATCTCCGAACCGTACCGACCCATGTTCACCTCTAATCACCACCTCTTATAAAGTCAACCCGTAATCAAAACTATTGCTTCTCTCCTAATAGGCCTTAAGAAAACAAATTATTCATGCGAACGCAACATGCAAAACAGAGCAGCAAGTTATTCCGTGTCAAAGTAGTAGCTTACTAGCTTTGAATATCTCCCACTACCAATTTACCAAACACTCAACCAACATCCAATATCTGAATTCTTGATAAATATATACATATATTTTCCTTATCCATGTAGTTT